CCAAATTGAACTACAGATTCAACAATCTGAACAAAAATCCCAGTAGACATTTTTGTACAGAAATTGACAATCTGATTCTTAAATTCATGTGGACATGCAAAAAACCTAAAATAGGCAAAACAAGTTTGCCGAAGTCTGATTTTCAAGACTCATTATAAAGCTAGAATGTACATGACAGTGGGGTATTAATTGTAAAGATGGGCAAGTCGATCAATGGAACAGAAGACAGACTCCAAAAATAAGCACACACCTATATGAGCAACAGATTTAAGGTAATGCAGTAAAGACAATCTATTTAACAAACGTTACTGGCACAACTGGATATTCATAAAACAGAAAATGATGCTGGATATGTATTTCACACAATCTATAAAAATTAATTCAAAATAGATCATAGATGTTCATGTAAAACTAAGATTATAAAACTTCTAGGAAAAAAACATAGAAGATATTATTTGTAACCTTGGGTTAGGCCAAGATTTCTTAACAGAATGCCAAAAGTACAATGCATACAAGAAAAAAATGGATAAATTTGACTTCAAAATTAAAAAGTTTTCATCTTTAAAAGACACCAGCAGAAGCATGAAAAGACAATCCAAACCTTTGGAGTAAACACTTGTAAAGCATATATCTGATAAAGGACTTGTGTCTAGACTATACAGGGAATGCTCAAAACTCAACAATAATAAAACAAATTGGTGGTTTTTTTAAATGCACAAAAGATTTGAACAGACGGTCCAACACAGAAAAAAGACATATAGACGATAAATAAGCACATGAAAAGATGCTCAATGTCATTACTCATGAGGGAAATGCAAAGTAAAACCACAATGAAATACCAGAATAACCTATTAGATGGCTAAAATTAAAAAGACTGCCCATACCAAGGGTTGGTGGAGATCTAGAAGAATTGGAACTCTCATACTCCTGGTAGGAATGTAAAACAGTATCACTTTGGAAGACAGTTCGGCAGTTTCTATCTTAAAAAGCTGAGCATGTGGTCCCACTCCTAGGTATTTACCCAAGGGAAAGGAAATATATGTCCATACAAGGGCTTGTTGTTGTGTGAACACAGCAACCTTGTCTGTAACAGCCAAAAACTGTAAACAATCCAAATGTCCATCAACACGAGAATGGATAAACAAATTGTGTAGGTCCATACAATGGGTACTACTCAGCAAGAAAAGGAACAAACTATTGATACACACAACGTGGATGAACTGCAAAAGAACTAAGCTATGAAAAAAGCGAGACAAAAAAGAGTACATAATATATGTACATCCATCTTTATAAAACTCTAGAAAATGCAAACCAATCTATAGTGAAAGAAAACAGAGCAATGATTCCCTGAGGAAAGGGTTGGAAAGGGGTGGGAGGGAGGGATTACAAGGGACATGAGGAAACTTTTGGGAGTGATGGATACGTTCACAATCTTGATTGTGGAGATAGGTTCATGTGTATATATATATTTCACAACTTATCAAACTGTATACTTTACATATGTATTGTTTACTGTATGTCAATTATTCCGTGATAAAGCTATTTAAAAACAAACTAAAACATAATAAAAACATCTCAAAAAACGTAAAGAGATGTATCAAACCACAAAACAGAATAACTCCAGATAAGAAATTAATCAAAATGCAATCAGATAGCAACAGATCAATTAAGAACCTTCTTGGACAGAGAAAGAAGCAAAAATCAGCAGTGTTGAGTCAGCAAAATAGGGCAATTTGGAAAAGGTCAATTCCAAAGGACCACAGTACAGAACTAAGGGGAATGAATCTGAGAATACACAATAGCCAAGAGAATATGGAAATTTTTAACCTGTAGCAGCAACCCTTGAGAGAATCAGAGTTTAGAGTTCATGATTAAAGGTAGAAGAAAAGGTTTCAGAATTGAAAGAAGATTTAAAGGCTCAAAAATCCCCCACAAGAACCAAAGAAAGCCATCCAGAACAGCAAGACTTAACCAAATAACTCCTCACACTATAAGAAGAAAGTATTCTGCAAAAAGCTATAAAAAATATGTTTCTTTTGAAAGAATGCAAACAACCACAACATCAGGTTTCTAAATGCAGACCAGAGTGTAACGGCAATGGAGCAATACTTATAAAACGCTAAGAAAAAAAATATTCAAGAAACATTTACCCAGTTCATAAGCAACAGCAGAAGAAATCCTTTTATGGATTGCAAAACATTCCTCTCACCTCCACAGCAGTCCCCATATCATTAAAACTGAACTCATTCATTTATTCATCAAGTGTAGTGACTACTGCGTAAAAGTCATTAACTCTTAGAATTGTAGATACGGGCTTGGGCAATGGGTGCTACAGAGAGAATCTCACATCTGATAAACATAGGTAAAACTGTGTCCACGTTAACAGTTACATTATTTGATTCTGTGTAAACTGCGATGTTCCTCTCTTCTCACAAGATTCAGAAGGAATAAAATTGTTATTGATGTAATGGACTGTCTCAGGTTGCCAGCTTTCAGGTTCTGAGAACAGTGGATGATGGGATGGAAGGAAGGGGTGCCTTTGCATAGCTTCTCTTTCCCTCCTCTCCTCCTCTCCCAAGCACAAGAGGATCAGAAATTGTACCAAAGGATTTTGTTTTGAACTCACTGCACCTGGGAAACTGGATAAAGGAAAAAAGGCTTCACTGGACAAAAATCTACCTTCCAAACCCATCCTGATACCACATTTCAGACTCTAGAAACCTACAACAATCATTTTTCAGAGGCTGTGCCAGCTGCTGCCAAAGCTCTTCTGGGGGCTCTTCAAGCTCCTGTCTCAGTGGCTCTTCCACTACCTGCCACCTCACCTTGGCACAATGATTCCCAGAACTGTCACACTTGCCATCATGTATTCAAACTATTCCCCATATGAAGGTGGGGCAGGATGGTTCTTCTTCCCAATACCAATCAAAATCCCAATTCCATGAAACAGCTGGTTAATGCTACTTATTTAAACCTTAAAAATGGCATCAAATAGATCATATCATTCAATAAGTATTTACTGAATACCCACCTACAACAAACCTGTAATAGGGTTTTAGACAAAAGAGATCTCTCTTCCTTGCTAAAATGTTGGACATCTTCCTTTATCTATTCCAAACAAATATGTATAGCTTCCTCATATATATACCAAGAAATTCCCGCCATCTGATAACCAAACTCGACACTACAATGAATAAGGAACTCACAGCCTCAACTTAATACAGGCAAGCATCCTAGACCAAGGAAATGTTCTACTTAGTGGTATTTAAAAATCCATTTGGGCTAAGAAGGATTATAAGAAAAGACTATTAATTTAACTGAAACTTAAATGAAGACTAACAAATGAAAACTGATAGAACATGGGAAAGATATTTAGGGATATTTTCCCATCCCCAGCATGATGAAAAAAAGCTATAATACTGAAAATATGACATTCTGAAACCATCTATCCCACCACTACCCCTAGTTGGACAATGCTGGCCACACTTCTAAGAGCTCAGAAAATGGAAAGGGTGCAGACTGACAATACAAACAATGAAAAAAAAAAAACTCCACAAACTAAGGACACAGAGACCTTTTCAATTTACCTGGCACCTTTTCATTTTCTATAGTCCATGTACTTTAAGAAATACGATAGATTCTTTCTTTATTCTATACGTAATAATGGAAAGAATGGTGTCCCATCACCTATAATGATTCAACTTCACACAAGACATCAATTCTTGATTTAACAAGGATTCTTTAGAGTCTTGGGCAAAGATTAAGTTTAACTATAAAATAGGAATGCTCTAAGAACTAAGGAGCAAATGTTTGTAAAGCGCACTGTAAAGGCAAGAAGACAGCAGGGGTCATCTCTGATTCCTCCCTGTCCCTCCCCACATTCAATCATAAAGCCCACTGGATTAATAATGTAAATCTCTATCCCCACTACGCCTATCCTAGACAAAGTCACCATCAACTTTTCCCTAGGCCAGATATCAGCAAACTACAGCCTACAGGTGAAATCTGACTTGTCTCCTGTTTTTGTAAATAAAGTTTTATTGGAAAACAGTCATGTCCATTCATTTATATATTGTCTTTGGCCATTTTCATGCTACAATGGCAGAGTTGAAGAGATGTGACCGTCTGACCCACAATGTCTAAAATATTCATTATCTGGTCTTTTACAGAAAAAGTTTGTCAAACCTGGCCTAAGTAGGCTATTAAATAATTCTCTGACTGGTCTCCCTGCCACCCATTCAATTCATCCTCCAAATTGCAGGCTGGGTGAAAGATTTAAAAACATAAATCTGATCATTCATTCTTTTGCAAAAGTAATCGAAACTCCGTAAGGTAACTCCTATAACTTTTCCAACCTCCTATCTTTCCCCTACCCATTCAACCTTTATATTCCAGTTATTCTATTTTAATATCTTCAAATCCACCTTGCTCTAACCTCTGGCCTTTCAGCATGTCCCAGGAACACTCTTTCTCCTAGCTAATTCCAGGTTCGGGGTCTCCATGTAAATGTCATTTTTTCAAGGAGGCCATTCCTGGTGCCTTGGGCTGGGATTAGGTGGTCCTGAACTTCCTCCACCACTGACCTTATTAGATTCTAATGCATATTTAATTGTCAGGCCCAACCAAAAGCCATATGAGAGCAGAGGTAGACTCTGATGTTAACTATGACACCCTTGCAGCAGGCATATGTTTTTGCTCAAATAAATTCATCCTTTGCATCATATTCTGAGAATTCAAAGAACTTTTTCTCAGTGATTTAGCAGAAATATTTAACCAATGAAGATAAATAAGTCATGATATAATCATGGCAGAATAAGTTGATTGCAAAATCTGAAAACCTAGAAACCTACAAAAAGACAACTTCTTCTGAGCAAAACTGTTCACACCATGTGCTTTTTAAATTTATTATTAGAGAAAACTTGATCGTCAGAGCTTATTCTAGACTGTATTTAATGAAAAGAACAAAAATAATGAAACTAAGAAAGGTATTTCCCCAATACCTGCTCTTCCCTCTCCTTTTCTTTGGTTTTACTTCTGTAGACTCTAGCAGAGGTGGCATCCTGGGATGGAATGGCAGAGATCTGATGCAGTGGCATGCTCATCCCAGCCTCCTGTGTGGTCTTCCTCTTTACGGAAGAAAGTCTCCAGTGGTAGAGTCATTTTGGGCCATGGACTTCAAGCTGAGAGACAGAAAGGAAGACAAGACATAACTGAGCTAAAACACTTTTAAAATTTCCAACAGTGAGATTAGCATTTTATATTTATATTCATATTTAATTAAATAAGTTACAATGTCTAACATAAATACTTCATCTTCAGAACTGACAGAAGATGAATGCCTATGGCGGGAACTGTAACATTCTTCTCATGTAATAAGATGGGAGCACCTGAAAGAGGCTGGTGTAACAGGTACATGTATAATCAGATATTAATTTTCCAATGGCTACTTAGGTTTTAAACATAGCAATGTCATCCTTTATTTTACGAATATTTTTGAAGTTACACATTTTTTTTTGAACAAGCATTCATCCTGATATAAGTAGTGATCCTTCCTTAAGATCACTGCCCTTGAGTCCACATAATGGTAACATTAAAAGTTAAAGAAGTCTGAAATAAGTTTAAGATATCTATGATCCATGCTTAACCTTATAAAAGTCTAGACTCTCTAGACAAGTTTATTGGCAAACTTTTCCCGTAAAGAGCCAGAATATTTTATACATTGTGGGCCATATTTGTTACAACTACTCAATTTTGCCAATGTAACAAGAAAGTAGGCACAGTGAGTTTGTAAACCAATAAGAATGGTTATGTTCCAATAAAACTTCACTTACAAAAATAGGTGGCAGACTAGATTTGGCCCACGGGCCTGGAGTTTCCTAACCCTGCTCTAAGAATATTCCAAGGAAGATGAGGGTCATCACAGACATTCCTGGGGCCATAAAAGGCTGCCCTTAGGTAAAATAATAGTGTCCGAATAAGCTATATTCATGATTCCAGGCAGCCCTTACTTTTTTTCTGGTTTTCTCCTACATTCCTCCAAAGTACCTAGTAATTGAATTGTGTGTTCTCTATCTCTCTGCCCCCACTGAAATCTATCAAACTCTGTATACAAAACCAATTAAATATAAATTACCCAAACTATCCATAATGTTTAACAAGGTAACAGTTCATGCTGTTTGAATTTTAACAAAGGATGGAAGCCTTAATCCAAAAGAATGAAGCTCTAATTTGGGGATTTTCATTTATTAAGCATGTATTGGAGGTGGGCCAGTAGACAAGGAGGGTGAACAACAGGGCCTGACAACCCTAAGTACACATCTGTCGAGCAGCCATTTGTTCCACCTCTCCCCTAACTGTGCTCTGGACCAAAGATAGGTGTTTGTGTGGCTGATCCCACCTCTGACAGTGTTACTAACCAAACTGAAGAGCAACAGGACTCACAAAACCAATTTCTTCCACAGGACTCTGATCAACAAGCAACAGGGAGGAACAGGAAACCGGAAAGGATCAACACACAGGAGAAAATAAGCTAAAAGAATATCCTGTTTTTAAAAAGTCTAGTTTTATAATAGTTGGGTGATCATTCATAAGTAATAAAACAGGAAAACAAGAGTAGGTAATATTAGTATCTAGACATTATATCCAATAATAAATAAAATATTAATGTATAGATATTATATATCACCTATTCTATTTCAAGCCTTTGATGAGGCTGACACAAGATGGAACACTGTACCCAAACAAATGGTCTGAATATATGTGTTTAAATAAGACAAGAGGCACTCACTTAGTGCTGCGTTGTCTTACACTCTCTGGAAGATCACAAGCCAGTAGTGAGCCGTTTTTCATCACTAATGCATTAAAGTCCTCTGTCAGAGATGACAAACTCCATGGGGCCTCTTAGAATACTTAGTCAAACTAACCATGCCTAGAGCCCCACCACATAGCATGCCAATAGCTGCCTTTGGTGCTTCTGGTACAATCATCATCATTACATCATTGGTACTTGACCATGACAAGCCTGGAAAAGACTAGTTATGCCATAGAAACACAAATGTGAGAGGGTTTTAAATTTTATCGCAAAGTTTTGAAGGACCTCCCTCATTACAGCTATGTAAGCTACTCTTCTGATATGCACCCCTATCTCCGGGTACTAGACCTGAAAGTTTGCCTGAAGCAATCCCTCTCCTATGTCAGACATATTTAGGATAAAAATTATAATTTAAAAAACCAAACTACAAAACAAACCATACCACTTTGTATGTGAAGGTTCATATGAAAATCATAAAGCAGGTATTACTCATACTAGTTTCTTCACATTATTTCCAAGTATCGTTTTCTATCAATTCAAGTCATGTTTAATTAAGAGCAATAGTTAAACCTCTGCACTATGCCTGACAATCCAGTCAGGAGGACTTCAATTCCACTAATGCTACTTTGCAAAATACAACACACTTAATATGAACATCCATATCTAGAAGAACTGGACTGATAAAACTGGTTTGTTTAAGAGTATGGAAATGAATATAACATGTTCATGGATCAGAAGCCTTACTACTGTTAAGATGGCAATTCTCCCCAAATTGATCTACAGATAAAGCAATTCCTATCAAAAACCTTCTGACTTCTTTGCAGAAATTGGAGAAGCTGATCCTAAAATTCATATGGACCCAGAACACCCAAAACAATCTTGAAAATGAACAAAGTTGGAGAACTCACACTTCCTGATTTAAAAACTTACTACAAAGGAATGGTAAGAAAACTGGGTTTAAGATGGTGGCATAGGAAGATCCTGAACTCACCTCCTCCCACGGACACAACAAATATACAGCTACACAGGGAACAAATCCTTCTGAAAAGAACCTGCTCCACAACAAAGGATACAAGGGCCTCGTCGAGACAGGTAGGAAAGGCATGCTCTCACCAAAAACCCCACTCCCAATATGGTGACCCACAATCGAAAGAAATCTTAATAAAATCAAGCAATAGACAAACAAATAAACGGAGCTTCTCCCCGAGGAGTAAGGGGTTTATACCCACACCAGGCACCACAACCTTTGGGTCTTGCAACAGAGAGAAGAGCCCCCAAAACGTCTGGCTTTGAAAACCAACAGCGCTTATGTTCAGGAGTAACTCAGGATGGCAGGGAATGAAGACTCTGCTCTTAAATAGCATGTGTAAAGAACCACTTGCCCCAGGACCCAGCACAAAGAGCAGCAGTTTCCAAAGAGCTTTAGACCATCTGTGAGGGAAATTCACTTAGTAATCTTACAGCAACTGCCAAAGGGGCAGAAGTCTGCTGGGACTCTCCAGGGATGGAATGCTGACAGATGGCATCTTTACAGGCTCCCTCTGCCTTGCTGGCACTGGCAGGCACCATTTTTGCCCTCTCATTCTAACCTGCTAAAAGCAGTGTGTGAACAGCCCTGCTCAAGCCACAGCACCAAGAGATGCAGCTCTTGAGCAGCCACACACCTCCATTCCACTCGCACAACCCCACCAAAGCCAACAGGCATTCACAGCCCGCACAGGGGACATCCACTGAGCGCCAGGCCCAGGCTGACAGGAGGACTGTGTTTCTGGACCCCACAGACTGAAACAAGTGGAAAGAGAGTTCAAGAGACAACGAAGAACCAGGGCAAGGTTAAACAATAAGGTTCATTTCCCACATAGGGCCATCCCTTCAAGACAGGGTAAGAGAGCTGCTTCACGTGATACACAGAAGCACAGAGTCAAGCAAAACGAGGAAATGGAGGAACACATTCTAAATGAAGGAACGAGATAAAACCCCAGAAAAAAAACTTTAATGCAATGGAGATAAGTAATTTACTTGATAAAGAGTTCAAAGTAATGGTCATAAAATGCTCACTGAACTTGGGAGAACAAGGGAGGAAGACAGTGAGAAATTCCACAAAGAAACAGAAAATATAAGAAAGTTCCAAACAGGACTCACAGAGCTGAAGAATACAACAACTGAACTGAAAAACACACTAGTGGGAATCAACAACAGCAGGCTAAGTGATACAGAAGAACAGATGAGTGACCTGGAGGACACGGTAGTGGAAATCTCCAAACAGAACGGCAAAAAGAAAAAAAGAATTTTTTAAAATGAGGATAGTTTAAGGGACCTGTAGGACAACAGCAAATGCTCTAACATCCACATTATATGGGTCCCAGAAGAAAAGGGACAGAAAACATATCTGAGGAAATAATGACTAAAAACTTCCCTAACCTGGGGAAGGAAACAGACATTCAGGTCCACAAAGCAAAGAGTGTCCCAAACAAGATGAACCCAAGAGATCCACACCAAGACAGATTATAATTAAAATGTCAAAAGTTAAAGAGAGAATCTTAAAAGCAGCAAGAGAAAAATAACTAGTTATGTGCAAGGGAACCCTCATAAGACTATCAGCTGATTTTTCAGCAGAAACTTTGCTGAAAAGAAACGAAATACGGGTACATGCTACAACACAGGTAAAACCTGAAAACAGAAAATGAAAGAAGGACCACACATTGTATGCTTTTGTGTGAAATGTCCAGAGTAGATAAATCTGTAGAGACAAAAAGTTGATTAGTGATTGTCAAGGGTTGGGGGTGGGGATTGGGGGGAGGGGGGCAGTGATAGCTAAAAGGGTTTCTTTTTAGGGCAATGAATATATTCTAAAATTTATAATGGTGATGGCTACATAACTCTTAAGTATACTAAAAGCCATAGAAGTGTACCCTTTAATGAGTGGATTGTAATGGATGTGAATTATATCTCAATAAAGCTGTTTTTAAAATATAAAAATAATTAATATGGATTAAGATAGGTAAATTTTTATTTTTCCTTTGTGCTATCCCTAATGTAATTTACCTGATGACATGGAGATGGCCACTGTTAGCCTATCATTCTTCCAGTTTTAAGAAAGGTAACATGAAGTATATAAAATTGGCAATCAGAAACCTAAGTTCAAGTCATGACTCTATTAAATACTAACTATGTGATGTTGGACAAACTGATGAATTTCAAAGGCTCTGTTTCTTCATCTGTGAAACAGAAAGGTAATAATCTCTACTCAGTTCACAGGGTTATTGTGAAGCCAAATAAGATTATGTCCATGTACACAAATATCAGGGTTCTTAGCATCAGCACATTTTCCAGCCTGCTTTTTCAAGCATCTGCAACGATGCCTCTCAC